ATGGAGGATTAACAAGGCCAAGATTTCTTTAAACCAGGCTTCCAGGAGCCTATGTTAACTTTCATCATCAGGGACAAAACCTGTAAATTTTCTGGTGGACATGGGACTAACCATTTGGTATTATGGGAGACCTAGGACTCCTTGCCTACCAAACAATGGAAATATAGAGGACAACCAGGGATATTAAAGAATATAAATGAACCACTAACCAGATTGTTAACCTAGGATAAGGAATTGGGACTCATTCTTTTACATTTATTTCTGAATGTCCCTACCCTTGACTAGGACAGGACCTCTTGAACAAGCTTCAGGCAACATTATTGTTCTTAGGAGACACTTGTAGGTTGCAACTGGGAGGCCCTGGTAAAGGCCTGTCCAACAAGTGAGGAATATCTACCCCTTCCAAGTCTAACCTATTTTCTGGAAGGGGAATGGGAAAAGATGTCAATCTAGCCAGGCGTTGGTGGTGCACACCTTTAATCCCAGCACTCGGGAGGCAGACGCAGGTGGATCTCTGTGATGAGTTCAAGGCCAGCCTGGTCTACAGAGTGAGTGCCAGGATAGGCTCCAAAGCCACAGGGAAACCCTGTCTCGAAAAAACCAAAAAAAACAAAACAAACAAACAAACAAAAAAAGGCTTTTTGTACAGGCCTCTGACTTAATTCTCCCTGATGTTCCCAAGCCCTTTCATCTTTACGTGCATGAAAGAAAGGGCATTGCCAAGGGAGTCCTGACTCAGACCCTGGGTCAAAAAGCCAACATCTTACATCTCAAAGAGAGCAGATAGTGTAGCCTCTGGATGGCTCCCTTGTTTAAGAGCTATTGCAGCCAACACAGTTCTTGTAAGAGAAGCTGACAAGCTCGCATTGGGACAGACTCTACACACGGTGGAAACCTGATGAGAGATGACACTAATCTGTGGATGTCAAAAGCCTGTCTGAGTCAGTACCAAGCCCTTCTTTTAGATAAGGACAGACTGATCTTTGATAAATCCTTGGCCATTAATCCTGCCACCCTGTTGCCAGACAACAGATGACTCTGAGGAGTCCTTCCATAACTGATTGGAGATGCTAGCTGTCATACAACATTCTTGTCATCACAGAGATGTGATCTCTACATGGATGGCAGCACCTTTGTTCAAGAAGGAACCAGGTATTTGGGGATGGGAGTGGTCACAGGCCAGAAGGAGGTTATTTAGGCACAAACCTTGCTCAGGAGCACATCTGCCCAGAGATCAGAAATAATTTCTCTAACACGGGCTTAAGGGGGCTGGAGAGATGGCTCAGTGGTTAAGAGGTTAAAGTCCTGAGTTCAACAATTCCCAGCAACCACACGGTAGCTCACAACCATCCTTAATGAAAATTTATTTTGTTTGTTTTTGTTTTTCCAGACAGGGTTTCTCTGTGTATCTTTGGAGGAAATTTTAATTTGTAAAGCCGAAAGTCTTCATATTTGGGCCGATGAGATGGACCTTGAGCCTGGTAACTTATGTTCGATTCCAAGACTCATACTTAAGAAGATGTCTTCTGGCTTTCCCGTGGGAGTCTGGGTATGCACACGTGTGCATACATACACCCAAATAAATACATTTTAAAATACAAAAAAGAAAAGACCCCGTACATTCCAATTCAAAACTGCATAAACTGGGTTCACATCCTTGGACACTGAATTTTGGCTTCCACCAGAGGGTGCCAAACTGCTCGTAGAATTCCGCCCTCACTACGCAGCCTCAGTCCGGGCGCAAACTGGACGCGCCCTTGTGGATGCATATGACGTCACCAGAGGGCGCGGTCCGCGGAGGGGGCGGAGCCTTCCCCGCCGAGGGGAAGGGCCCACCCCGGAGCGCAGGTTTCAGGGCCCAAGTAGGTTGCGAGTGGCAGGCGGTGGCTGCGGCTCCACGGCTTGGGGAAGATGGCGCCGCCGGTGACGGAGCGGGGGCTGAAGAGCGTCGTGTGGCGGAGTGAGTGCCGAGGGGTCAGGGCTGAGATAGCAAAGGCCGCGGGTCTGCCTCGCCGGGTCTTGTTCCCTGCTGCAGCCCCTCCGGGAGCTGCACCGCAGACTTGTTGCTTTGGGACCAACTCCCTGGTCGGACTCTTTCCGGCTTGCCCAGCGAGTCGGATTTCGTGCCAGCACCGGGGATGGGCGGGCTGACCAGACGCGGCCTTCTCCCGGTCCTCGGCGAAGCCCCACCCTCGGCGACCTGACTCGGGCCGGGCCCGGGTCCCGGCGCTGTTCGGGGACAGTGCTTCCCACTCCCCCCTCACCCCACCAGGCAGGGACGTCTCTCCGCCCGCCCGACACAATCTGTGCTCTGTGCTTCTCTATTCCGCCCTCGTCCTTGTGTTTTCGAGGCCCCTTAGTGTCCACATTCATGGGTTTTACTACCACATCAAGGGTTTTACACTTTTAGTGTCTTAAGTGCAGACTTTACTGTTCAGGAGAGCCTTCTGCCGCTGTTCCTAGAGAAGCCTTCTTGCTAAAACAAAAGTTCTTGACACAGGACTGTCGGACTACTCAAGTCTGCTCTTTGACTGTTATAACTGGTCTACTTGTTTGTTACTCGTGTTCTGCCCTATCAACCACGACTTTTATTAAAAGTACAACAAACCTAGGCCTGTCAGGTTAGAGGAGGAATGAAAGCCACAAACCTTCCTTGTTTGGCATCTCTGGGTTCAAAGTAATTATAGGCTAGTAGTGGAAAAGGAGTAATGTCTTCGTGTTTCTTTCTCCAGCTTGTCGAATAAGAAACAGAATAGAAATTAGTTAACAGAATTCTGTATAATGCATTTCATAAAATTAAAATCTAAATCAGTACAGGCATATACTGTTTTATAGTGTTTATCATTTAGAAGAACTAAAGTATATGAATAGATTTTGTGAAGTACAAAGTTATCCTTTAAAAATCTAGTTAGGGACCTGTGTGGTGGCTTAGTGGGTAAAGAAAAGTGCTTGCTGCCAAGGAGGACTTGAATTGGATACCCTGGGACCCAAGGAGTGTAAGGAGAGAACTGACGTAGGCAGATGGTCAGTTTTGACTCTCAAATGAAAATGGATGGCAAATTGTATTGTGTAAATTAATTCTGAGTTATAATGGTACATTACATTATACATTAAGGTTTATGTGAAAAAGATAGCATAATGCTAGTAATGCTAGTATCAATAGTGTGAAAACCAGGCAAGAAGGAGAGTATAAACATAACAGAGTTTCCCTCTTAATGTTGACTTGGGGTAACACCAGACTCACTAGATGGAGAGTAAAATACACACAGGCTGAACGGGAGGAAAAAGATGGAAGTCTGTAATATATTCTCTTAAACTTCTGTAACAAGAAGTACAACAAGGTAATAATAACCCAGTATTCTTTGCACAAAGCATGTATATATGTTGAGGGGCTAGAGAAATAGCTAAAAATTTAAAATAGCTCACATTTCCACAGACTAATGCATGGCTGAATAATGCTTGCATAAACGATACATATCTTTTTTTCAGTAAATGTAAGTGCTAATATGCTTTATGCTATTGCATCTTGGAAACATGCTAAGTAAAGAGCCAGTCACAAAGGACCACATGGAGTAACACCATTCATGTGAAAAATGACCAAGACAAACAAATCTAGAGAGACAGGAAGGAGACTAATGTGTCCCAGTCTGGAAAGATGACATTAAAGGGATGGGGTGCTGTTTTGGCTTTTGTTATAGTTGTTGTTTTGCTTTGGTTTTAGTTGTTTGACACAGGTTTTCACTGTGTATCCCTGGCTTTTCTGGAGCTCACTTTGTAGTCTGAGTTGGCCTCCAACTCATAGAGCTCCACCTGCCTCCTGAATGCTGGACTCAAAGGTGTGCGACACCACAAAAGGACTTTGTTTTGTTTTTGAAACAGGGTCTCATGTACTCCAGGCTGGCCTCAAACTCAGCTTTGTAGCTAAGGATGACCTTAAACTTTTGATTTTCCTGCCTTTACCTTTCGAGTGATATGATTATGGATAAATCCCACCACTCCTGGTTTTATGCAGTACTGGAGATTGAACTCAAGGCCTTTTGCATACTAGGTAAACAGTCTACTAACTGAGCTACATACATCCCTAGCCCCAAGGAATGAAATTTCCTTTTAGAGTAGTGTATGAATGTTCTCAAAACAGTTGTGGCAATGTAGGAATGGATGCATGACTCTGAACATGCTGAAAATCATTAGCGAATGCATTTTTTCGTGAGTGAATTCTGTAGTTCACAGTTTGTATCTTGATAATGCTATGAAAATGAGCCCTGACAAGAGCTATTAAATCTAGACCTAAGAGTCAGGCAGAGTGGCACATGCCTATAATCCCAACGCTTAGAGGTGGAGGTACATGTGCCAGTTCAGCTATATAGTTAGTTTGAAGCCAGTTTGAACTTTGAGACCTTATCTCAAATAAATAAGTAAAATCTACACCCAAGTTTTACACCCACGTCTTTTGACTACAGTCAGAGTTAAAGTTTGACACATCTGTGGCTTAGTTTTGGATCTTATTTTATACAGTCTACTACATTTTATACAGCCTCCTAACCAACTCCAGAGTTCTGGCCTGCCTGTCTACCTCATCTTTTCCTCCCTCCCTCCCTCCCTCCCTCTCTCTCTCTCTCCCCTTTGTCTTTCTTTCTTTCCAGTCCATCCAGCAAATAGCTGCTAGAATAATTTCTTTTAATAATGCTAGCTTGAAGACTGCAGAGGCACCCAGTTGCCTAACGTTCATACCAGTCTGCTATTGACTATCATCTACCTCCAATCTCCTTTGTTTTATAATATTGGTTCACCCATGCCCATACTGTTTTTTTCTCATTGCATTATTTTATCTTCCTGTCTTTTTGGTTTTTCGAGACACGGTTTCTCTAGTTGTTCTGAAACTAGCTTTGTAGACCAGGCTGGCCTCGAACTCACAAAGACCCACCTGCCTCTGCACTCGGGGATAGACTTTCCTATCTTACCTTGGTGGCCCATTTCTCTGACTTCTGATTCCTTTCCCTAATTCTTTACCTACTCACACTTTAGCCTTCAAGTCTTAGTTCAAATGGGTTTCCAAACTTCCATTAGTGGCTTGTTTTTTGTTTTTGTTTATTTTGCCCACCTTCCTTTGTTTTAGCATTTAGTTTACCCTTCTCACAACTGCATAAGGGGAGCCCCTTTTTGCTTTGCTTTGCTTTTTTGTTTGTTTCCTTTTGTTTATTTTCAGACACGTCTCTCTAGCCCAAGCTGGCCTGGACTTTGCAATAGCTCTCCTGCCTTCTGAATGCTGAGGTTATAGGCATGAGCCACCATTTAGTTAGGAGTTAGGAATCTCTTGAAAAGCTTTTAGAGGGTGGGCTCACTTTTTTGTCTCACAGCCCTTTAAATTTGTATGTGTGCATGTACAAATTCCAGTGCCCATGTGCATGCTTGCAGAGACCAGAGGTCATATCAGATTTCTTCATCTAATGCTCTCTACCTTAGGAGGCAAAGTCTCACTGAACCTGGAGCTCCCTTGGCTAGGCTGTCTGGTTAGCTCTGAGAATCCCGTTTCTGCCACTCCAGAACTAAGGTTACAAATGTCTGACTTTCATGGGTCCTCATGCTTTGGGTAGGCACTTGGCCAACTGAGCTCTCTTACCTGCCTCCTAGGGCTGTAAGTTGTTAACAGCCCCCAGCAGAATGTGATAGGTAGTATGTGTTTTTGTTTTAAATAAATGACTCAGTTTCTTAAATTTTCCCCTGTTCCTACCTCAGAGGCCCCATTAATACAGCATTGAATTCCTATGAGAAAGTTACCAGTGCTCTTAAAGCTTTTGTTCAGGTGGGGACTAAGAGGACATAAAGAATAAAACTCAAGAGTAAACATGATTATTTCAGTTTGTGACACACCAAATGGTGCATCAGGAAAAATTTATCTGACTAGGTGACATTTCTTAAGACCTAACGAGAAGGAATCAGCCATTAGGAACTACCTTAAACCTCCTTTTAAAAAATGAGCCTGCTTTGAAAGCCTACAAACTCGAGGACCTACGCTTGAAAATTCAACACTCATGTAAAAGTCAGGCTTGGCAGTGTTGTCAGCTTCGTAGTCACATCAGTGAACTTGTTCAGTGAGAAATCCTGTGTCAAAGAATCAGGCTTAGAATGTTGGAGGAGTTGACCTCCAGCCTTCTTGTAAGTGTGCACACACCCGAGTGAATTCTTAAATACACCACACACACACAGTGCAAGGCATTGGTTACAAAGGCTGGGGGTGGGTAGACCAAAAGGTAGGGTGGAGCCAGTTGTTAAGTGGTTTAGGCATACTCTGGGTAATGGAGAATCACTAAAGATAACTTTTCCCCTTCTCAAATAGCAGACACCAGCATTCTTGCTGTTTGTTAGTGCCAAAAGGAAGCCATTTCATGTTCCTACTCTGAAGGGAAATAATCTTTAAAATTTAATTAAGTGTAATAAGTTATATTAATGATGTACAATTAGGGATTTTTTGCTCATGTAACTACCACCCAAATCAATCTATAGGATGTTGCTAAGTATTCACATTTCCCAGTGTAAGCCCTCCCTTCTCCCCCAGAGTGAACACTATTCTGACTGTTAACATCCAGTAATTGTGTTTTTTTCATCTTTACACTCATGTTTAAGAGAGAATCCTTCAAACTCTTCATTAGATTTTCACATGCATACCTGTACTTTCTTGTTTTTGTGTTTGCCATCAGAGGAGGGTGTATGTGTGCACATGAGTGTGTGTGTGTGTGTGTGTGTGTGTGTGTGCGCGTGTGTGCGCGCGCGCGCGCATGTGTGTTTGCGTGTGTTGTTTGTTAGGCAAGCAAGGGCTCTGCCACTGGGCTACATCCTGGCCCTGCCTTTGTATTTAGTTCTTGCAGTAGTCCTTAGTTTTCATAGGTTCTAGTTCCATATACTTTTTAAACTAAATGTGCAAGATTGAAGAAACTATGAGCCAGACTTAATGTATAGAGA